AGTCTCCGTCGCAGCTTGCCAAACGTGGCCTCTCCCTGTATTCGTACGAGTCGACCATCTTTCTACGTCAGTGATGCCATAAGGCAGTGTCACTCTCCTCTCTGCCACGAGGTGTGGACTTATCTGGTATGATACTGACTTTAAGGACCACAGCTCACGAATCCGTTCATCCATCTTCATGTAGCCATTTCTGTTTTTCCAAAAATTGCCTTCATAATTCCAATTCGAGTCCTCTCCAACTCGACTGAATACCATTATTGCGTCTGACTTGGCCTTGCTGTATGAAGCAACAAAAAAAAAAAAAAAAAAAGAGAGAGAGAGAGACGCTCGTCGATTAGATAGATCGATAAGATAACAACACCATTGTGTAAAGAGGTTCGCAAAACTAGTGCACGCTTTGCAAGTACTGCACGGATAGTATATTCCATTGAAGTATCAGGTAAACGACAGTATCCCCAGATGCAGTTCTGATTCATATTACAGTGGGGGTCTTGGCTAAAGTATGTACGGAGTAATTCGAGCTCCCGGCACTGCCGGTCAGGGGATCGGCTCCTAAGTCAGGATTTTCCAGGTTCCGAGAACTAATTTCCTATACTTCAATTCAGTGGAAACTTTCTATAATACCGTGCACTCCGCCTCTAATAAATACGAATTTATATAAGGTTTATTATGACTCGCAGTTGACGCCAGCTAAGACTGCAACTCTGGTGGCTCTATTTGCAACAATAGGCAGCCGCAAGATGCGTAGACTATATAAAGGACTGACTATATCTCGTCATCTCTATAGAGGAACCACGATCACACACCGCACTTGACACATCATCTCCAGTCGAACCACGATACATCCTGCACAATGTTTTCTCACACTCTCGTTTTCTTGGCCGCTACCTTGGCCGCTCTGGCCCAGCCTGCCCTAGGCTTGCCCACTGAGCAGCTTGACGCCCGGCAGACTGTGTGTTCGCTGAACGAGAAGACTTGGACAGCGACCATGACTGGAACGTGCTCCATTAGTGGAGGCCCTGCTATGGTTTGTGATCAGAGAACCGATCTCAAGAACCTCGTCGTACAGAAGAACACGATGTTGAGCGCCTCGGGCCTGGGCAACAACAGATTCGAATGCAGAGGATACCAACAAGTAAGTACAGATGTCGCCCTTGTTTCACGTCCGTCGGCTTACATAGCCATCTAGTGGCAATGCTGCTCTACCAATTAGAGTATAGCACTCAGCCTGAATGCGAACTTGGAGATATTATATCAAAGCTTCAGATGATAGTTACTATTTTCTATAGATGGAAGGGGATGAATCGAGTTTCAAAGGATCTGGCTTCAGCAGAATCAGATGGAGGCCTAGAGTAATACAATCAACTTTACAGAACTATTCATACTCAGTCTATAAGTTCTCTTATTTCTTAGAGCCTGGGGAATATCTAACACATAAGAGAACCAACACGCTTCTGTCTACAACATCCCTAAAAACTAGCTTTATACAGTCTCAGAGACAACAACCGGGGGTGAACAAGCCTGGCGTAATTACCAGCATAGACTAGGTCCTCATTTGCGGGTCTCAGTTACTCCAGACCTATTGCAAGAGTAAGTTCGCGTTCAAGTACAACTCCCACATCCGACGCGCATATAAGAAAACACGCGGCAGCTTAAGGGCAGATTTCAAAAAGCTCTTGCAGACAGATGTCATTGGTCCTTGGCGCTCGGAAACTGAACTTTCACCATGTGCTTCCTGAGCTTGCTTTTGTTGATATCAGATGCAACCAGAATAAGGAGAGACTTGGGTCGCCATTTTTATTTTTATTTTTTTGGGCCGCTTGGAGGGAGCGCAGCGAGTCCTCATTACTTTCCATCTACAAAGGCGTCCACGCAGTTAGTTAGTTGATTGTCAAGCTTTAGGCCCAGATATCCCAGAAAGGCCTGCCCAAGGGTTTCTTTAGGCTCTTGACGAGAATCCAACCTGACTGTTACGCCCACTGCAGTTGGTCCCTGTAGGCGCGTATTCCAGAGGCAAAGGTCAGGAACGCGAACAACTGCCCTTTTGAAGCAAAGCTCCTTGCTAATGATTATAGATAAATCATGAAGGGATTTCTGGCCTGGTGTTGTGATTTGATGCACGCCAGTTCGATCACACATAGCATGCTTAAATTAAAGGGCACGACGTTGAGAAGACAATGCAAGCTACCGGACTCCTGTGCGAGAACGGATCATGTCGAGCGATTATTATAAGGTAAGGAAGGTACCTTACTCAAGCTGAACGATACCGACAAGCCATTCCGGGATTAGAAGGCCCGTGCTCAACACAAAGAACACACTTGCCCGAGATGGCGGACACCAGTTTTGCGAACGTCTATAGAAAATGTAGACAACGTGTGTCGTAATCCACTCGGCATCCTATTCATGGTAAGACGAGCCTCAGCAACGCAACTCATCGGGGTTAGGTCTTAGATGGTCGGACTTTGACGCCAATATTGATTTTGTACGTATTCGCTCAAGCCCTGTTGGAGAATGAGCTCACGAAGTGGACAGACTCCACTGATAGCGAGTGAGGCCTACTTCACGAAGATTGCTCGACATGGAAAGGTGTGTGTGTGGGTTTAAAAATTTTGATCTGATAACGGCCAAAATCCGGGGCAGCGTGAGCACGTTCCTTTGATTCCTTGAATTCCCTCTGTTTTGGCTCTTTCATTCCGAGCTAGAGTTCCGAGCCCTCTCCACCAAAACCCGCCGCGCTTGCCGAATCAAATTCAACCGAGGTCATTTTGACATCCACTCCAATGCCGAACAACCTGAACTCTCCCATCAGGGAGGCAGAGACAGATGCACTTCTGCAGCGGTGCAGCACCATGGCGCGCTGTGGGAGCATCGGCCCGCCGCCGGCAGTAACGCCATCTTTTCCTTTGCGTCGCACAAACATGAGCCGAAGGAGCTTTTATTTTACTTGCTCTAACGTGACGAGTCTCTTAGGCGATTACCTAGCTGCCTGGCAGTAAACCCTGTGACCATCCATGGCATCCATCGGCGTATGCCGTTCGGTAAAAAACCAGCGCTGCAACAGAGCATCCACCTCGGCGCATGAACATGGCTAATTGGGACAACGGCTTTGGGTTCTTCTTGCAGCTGCCAGCTGGACTTTATTTTAGCGTTCCCTGCCCGTCTTTCTGCTGATTACTCTTTCTCTTTCCTGAACCTCTTCTGAACTAGAGCGAGCGATTTTTGGGGGTGATTCTTTTCTAGTCGGGGTTTCTTAGAACACCAAAGCTCCTCCCACTTTCTAGAGGGTCCTTCCTGCTTGTCCTTCTTCACAAGCTTGCCCATTGACGTGACGTCGAACAGAGGAGAAACCCACATACAGCTTTCCCAACCCGCTTCCTCTCTTTCTCTCTCTCACCTCTCGCCCTCCGATCTTCGGGATAAAGCTTTACCACCGACACCGAGCTCGAAAACAGGACCCTACAACCGGGGGAGCTTCTTCTCGCCCACAAACCCTTGGTCGTTGCGAGACTTTTTTCTGTTCCTTTACCGTCCTCTTTTCTTTTCCCTCGGACGGAAAGAAGACCACCACAAATCGGGTTCCTCGAGACAAAAAAAAAAAAAAAAAAAAGCCCACCCAAATAAGAAGACGGCATTGATCCTTCACCCATCATGTCCACAGAAACAGCCGACCAGGCGCCCGCCGTCTCCGACCTCCCCTCCGGCGACCCCATCCCCGCCGCGCCCGCGCCGCCGACCGCCGCATCGCCAGCTTCGATAGCCAACCCGAAAGGCAGCAAGAAGCCCACCCTCGCCCAGATCCTCGCCGCGACGCCCTCCAACGTCGATGCCTTCGTCGCCCACCTGAACCGCTGCTTCGCCACTCCGTCCGGTATCGACGCCGTCCTCTGCTGCCTGTGCTACACCTCCCGCTTCTCCGCCTCTGTCATCGACTCCCTCAGCGCCTCCGCCCTCCGCCACTCGGCCCGCAAGCTCGTCGCTCTCGCCTTCTCCCTCCCGCCCGACACCACCATCCTCCTCTCCAAGGCACCGCCCGCGGCGGCGGCTGCGAGCCGCGGCATGCGCGTCGCGGGACACCTGAGGGCGCTGGCGTCGCTTCTGAGCGAGGCGCGCACGATTACGAGGTTGTGGTCCCTGTTGCCTCTGTACCTCTGGCTCCGCCGCCTCATGACGACGCCGGCCAGGACGGAGGAGGAGAAGGAGAAGGGTACAAAAGACGCGTCTGAGGCGGCGCTGGATAGGGCCCTCTCGTGGCTGCAGGTCGTGGCGTGTCTGATCCTGCAATCGCTCGAGAGCTCGTCGTACCTGGCGTCCAAGGGGGTGCTGCCAATGACGCCCAAGCAGCAGGGGACGGCGGCGCGGTGGAGCGTGCGGTTCTGGAGCGTGTTTGTTGGCAGCGAGCTCGGCCGGTTGGCGATTGAGAAGCTAAGGCGGCGGGCGGCGATCCGGCGCGGGGAGCTGGAAGTTGGTAGCGTGGAGTATAAGGAGTGGGCGGACGTTTGGGGCAGGACGCTGGCGAGGCAGGCTTCCTGGTTCCCGTTGACGGTGCACTGGAGTATGGACAAGGGGTTCGTGCCGGAGATGGGGATTGGGTTGTTGGGGAGTATCCCTGGTATCGTGCAGATGCGGCAGCTTTGGAAGGAGACTGCCTGAGAAGGGGAAGCAGTACGGGTGGACGGGGGAGAACTTGACTAAGACTGGAAACGATGGCGAGGTGCATATGAGACGGATAGACGCACTATACCGCTACTATCGAGATAGCTTTTCTGTGGAAAGCTTCGTTGTATCTGAGTCTGTTGTGACTGCGGGCCATCTGCTCGCTGGTGTTGGGTACGGATTTTCCATTTCATGTTTATGATATAATAGATGTCAATATTTTCCCTCAAAGATCCAAAATCCAAAGCACAAAACGCTATGCCCCTTGTTCCTCCCTTCTCCCACCTCTTGTTCAAGTCGGAACGCCTAACCTCAAAGAAAGACCAGCACAACCAAGAGCTCCCATGCTACATGGGCATCCTCCTCACCTCCTCCATCGTCCAGTACTTTCTCATATTCTCCGCCCCCAACGTCTCCACCTCCTGATCGAGGTGCGTCCAGAGCACCTCCCCCCAACTATCCATCTTCTCCTTGAGGACACCGAGCTCGAGCTCCGTCTCGCGGTCGCGGCAGGCGCGCAGGTAGGCCTCGAACTTGTCCATACCATCATGGATCTGTTTATGTTGGCGGAGGAGTTCCGCGCCTCCTCCGCGGCCACCAGTCCGGAACTCGGGCATGCGGCGGGCGAGCATGGGGAAGACGTGGGCTTCTTCGATGCCGTGGTGGGCTGTGAGGTGGCGGGTGAATTGGAGGCCCGTGTCGAGGAATTGCTTGAGGGACATGTTTTGGGGGCGGCGGCCTGTTGATGCTGCTGTGTGGAGGAGAGTCCATTGGTGGCGGAAGTGGTTGTGCTGGTGTTTTGGTTAGTTTTTTTTCCCCTCTCTTGAGTTGTGTGGATAGTATGTTGTCTTATCTCATTTGCTTGAGGTGTATGGGAGGATTGAGGGCATTTTGAGATGTGTGAGGTTTGAAGGGATGAGGGGCGTAATGAAATTGGAGTGAGTGAGTGAGTGGGTGGGTTTCTTACAAAGTAGTTCATCTTTTCTGCCATTTGGTTGTAGACTTTGAACTCGGCCGGAGTCAGAGGTGGTAACTCGGGCTTCGCCGGCGTGGTCTCCTCCGTCGACAGTGCTGCCGTCGCCGGCGTTGCTTGTGGTTGTTCGGCTGCGCTGGCAGACATGGTGCTGAGAGTACGGATATTCCGAAGCTCAGAAATTGAGTATTGAGTTGTTGCGAATGCGCTGCGCGGTCCCTGTAAGATCAAGTGACGGGGTCTGGAGATGGGATGAACTGCGCGGCTACTTTGCGATAAGATTCTGCTAGCAGAAACAACAACTTTCATGGTATTTTGGAGAAAGTGCGGTTCAAAAGAAGTTTCTTGTGGTTTTATTCCATGGAGGGGGAAGGGGAGAGGTCTGTTTCTAGTGGTTTTATCCTAGGATCATGCGCGCGCGACCACGCCGCCGCCGCCCCTCCATCCGAGCGATATGCTAAGGCTTGTAGGAATCGCCCGCGGCGGGTAGGCTAAACTGTTTACAGACGCAATTAGGAAAAGGAGCCCTGCAAGTACACCGCGCGGCTGACGGTGCTTGGATTTGGGGTTTGTTCAATTGGCCACCCCCCCGCCAGCTTCCGCGTTGGAGAGACATGGAGACAGCCTGTGACTTGCTGGCTGGAAGCCCACTTTACTCCCAAGAGCAGAATCAGATGCCAGCAAATCCACAATCTCTCGGAGAAAAGCATCGTAAAAAACTTGAGATATCAGACGGGACATCTTGTTCACCGCAGTCATGATTTCTAGTTTCTCCATGTGACCGACCCATGAGTTTGAAGAGATTTCATTTCGGCGTTCGCAGATTGGCTGGCGACCCTCCTTACTCAGCTCTTTGAAAGCGGAAGCGGAAGCGGAAGCGCGAAGGCGGGCGGCGCTGCGGCAGTCAGTCGCATTTTCGCGACTCGCTCTTTGACACTGGGAAGAATCCACACATTGCCGCTCTCATTTATCCATGCACCCGCTACCGCGCGTAGGTTCCATTGGTAATGGAAGACATGGACTCGGCATCCGATCTTGTCCGCGCCGCTCCACTCCGGGCCGGGGTCCATCCGGCATACTATCCAGCTTCCGATAGCGGGTCTGGGCCCGGTTTCTCGGGCCGTCCACGGCATCTGTACTCATCACGTGTTCGTTAGGCCATGCGTGCATGCGGGGGCAGATTTGCACTGCACTTTTAACTCACACATGCGCATTGAAAGGAGCTACGCTAGATCTCGACTTTGTCGGGTCGAATTCGTAGCAGTTCTTTTTACGGCATTGGACGCTCTCGGCTGCTTTCAATTGGTCAGTACGGCTCCCTGAAGCTCGGTCGATTCCGCGGGCCCGTGTGTCCCCACTATCACAGGCAGCAGCAGGCAACAGCACGACCAGACATGGGCAAAGGGAGGATTTGACGAGCAAACGTGACTTCGTGGAAATCTCGCGTCCTGTGGTTCGGCTTCTGCAACTATTAGGCGCCATCCTCGGCACAGCTGAACTTTGCGGTTGAGACGCGTCGCAGCCTAATTTGCACCACAAGTATCCCATGGTCGTCTAGCATCGATCCCGATCCTTGCTTCTTGGCGATCCTCAAGGCGGTTCTGTACAAAAGCGCGAGATTCTTCCGCACTACGAGAGCAGAAGTCTCTGCAATTTCATTGTCTTATCGCTCACACCATTACTTATATCGAAGTCGATCTCAAATTACCATCGAGAAACTTGACAACAGCTGAAATGTCGAGCGTGTTGACTGTCCGCGAGCGGCTCACGCTCTGCAAGTGGGCCGATAGTCTACCTGGCGACATCACTCCGACCCTTGCTCGCGGTGCGGAATGGGTCAAGAGCGAATTCGGAAAGGATGTCCCCGAAGCTGTCATCCGGACCGTCCTAGACCGCGCGGACATGACGGATGACTTTCAGGCCTACGTAAGACTTCCTTTTCCAACTCATACTGTAGTAGCATAATGGCTGATCGTAAGGAAGAACGACGGCGAGATTGCCCCCCTGATACGCCCAGGCTTTGGTAAAGAATTCTGGGAGATGCCTGATGACGATGCCGCGTTCCCCAGCGCCGTACGAGAGTGGAAGGCATCGACCCTGACGTGGGGAGAGATCGCCATATTGTGGTTCGTCGAGAAGATCACGAACAAGCCTGATTGGCATGTCAAGGTCTTTGATGAGGAGATTGTTGAAAGGTGGAAGCAGGAGGTCATGGCTGTTGACTGGAAAGCCGTGGGTCTCACGTATGCTTATTTCGACGACGATTTGTTCACGTCTGTAAGTGCTGCGCTGCGTCTGCGGCATCTGCTCGCTGGTAATCGGTTCCTAACTGGCAATGCAGGCTCTCGCCGAGCTTCGTGAGAAGGCCAAGCTGTTTCAAGCCACTGGCCTGATCCCCATCTTCGATGCCTCATCCGTCGTCATCAAGTCTGACAGCGCCATCACTCCGGAGGTAAAAGAGGAGCTCAAACAGGGCGTAGCCGCTCTCGAAGATATCCCTGAAAACGAAAAAGACTGGCATCCCGGCAGCGACGGCAAGGTCCTGGACCTTGTTCACCCTTCTCTCTGGCCTCTCGTCTTTGGCAAGTCTCGCATCGTCTCCGATAAGCGCATCCTGCTCGAAGACACGCTTGCGGCCTGCGGCACGGGAGATGTCATTCCTGTTCCCAAGAAGAGGTATACCGACCACAGTTCCTCCGACGACCTGTGGTCCGTCAAGTACCAGTGGCTCCCGTGCGACATAGATCTTGAGGAGGGCAAGCCAAAGATTATGAGCTACATCAACAACTTGCACCCCCAGCACCATGCCGGACTCTACACCACTATCGAAAAGGTGCTCGAGAAAGCTCTACCCATGTGGGATCTGGTATACAGGTGGCACGAAGACTACGAGACCCTCCGCATCCCCTGTGAAACAGCCCGGACACAATGCCTGGCAGAGTGCACCCGGTGGTGCTGTCCCGAAAACCGCCCAGTAGACCCAGACGAGGCCGAACGTGATGAGGACGAATTCAACGACGACTACTACGGCTACAGCGCCGAGGAGCCCAGCCGCGAACTGTGGCGGAGAGACAAGATCTGGTTCGAGACCACCCACCCCATCGAGAAGCCGCCCGTTCCCGCGTACAAGCCCATGGCGCTCCAGCCCAAGGACGTCAACCTGACCTCTGGCTTCTTCAACCACGCGGACCGCATTCAGGTCATTGTCAAGCTCGCCAACATCCACCTTACGCCCGAGAAGCCGACATATGACGGCGGGTCCTGGCACATTGAGGGCCAGCTGAACGAGCACATCGCCGCCACGGCGCTCTACTACTATGACAGCGAGAACATCACCGACAGCCACCTCGCCTTCCGCACCGTCGCCGACAGGGAAGAGCTCATGGGGGAGCTTAACTACGAGCAGGGTGACAACTACACCATTGACCGGACGTTGGCCATCGACTCCCGTAGGGACACGAACCAGCGCCTTGGCAGCGTGCTCACGCGCGAGGACAGGCTGCTCGCGTTCCCCAATGTCTATCAGCACTGCGTTGCGCCGTTCGAGCTGGTTGACAAGACTAAGGCGGGCCATCGCAAGATCCTGGCGTTGTTCCTCGTCGACCCGAGGATTCCTATCATTGGTACGGCCAACGTGCCGCCGCAGCAGAGGGGTTGGTGGAGGGAAAGAGCCGCGCCGGGGAACCGGTTGGGGACGTTGCCGCCCGAGGTTACGGACATGGTGTTTGATAATATGGACTTCCCGATTGGGATTGGGGAGGCTAAGGGGATACGGGCTGATTTGATGGAGGAGAGGACGACGATTGCTGAGCAGGGTATGGGGGTGATGACGGATATGGAGTGGAACTTTTGTGAGCACTGAGTCTGGCGGAACGGGCCTGTTGCACGTTCGTATCGAGGGGAGCTCCCGCTTAACTGTCATGGCGATGAAGGGAGAGAAGTTGGAAGCTATGTTGAGACGCTGCTTAACCGGCCTGAATGTTGACACCAGATATGCCAATAGCTGTGCAAATCGTGTCACCCCAGCCTCAGCTCTTGACTGCGGTTGTGGTCCGATTGGATGATCTGACGGCATCCTGCGCTCCCGCAGTAAGACAAGTGGGTTGTGTCTCATGTCGTCTGCCAATACGTTAGCTGCTTGTGAAACATCAAGAGCTGAAGCAAGGGCAAGGGCACTCATAAGGATCGTCTCGTTCAGGAGTACGCGTTGTTTATTGGGAAATTTGTATAAATCTTTGTATGGAAGCAACTTTACCTTGATCGTCGCTTCTCACTGGCTCATGTTCTGGCCTCATGTTTGTTGGCCATTGAAAATCACCTTCTCTCAGACGTGGCATCTCATCAACCTCACTCCATCATGTTATACTATCTCATTAACAGCTTCAAGTCCAACAAGGACGCTAGACCTAGCCTTGAGCCACCAGACCACCAAGATGTCTCGACTTCTGAGAAATGGCTCGCTCACAAAATCCATCAAGCAACAACCACCACAACCGTCCTCAACTCAAAAATTGCCACCACCACCGTCGTCGACGACCTAAACCCAAGCCTCACCAACCTCCGCACAGTCGTTCAAAACGACCCTCAACTCACTACCCTAGCAGACCAAATGTTCATCCAAGCCGCCGCCCTACAGCCCCGCGACCCGACAGAGCAACCGGCCGTCCAGTCCTTTCGCCAGTTCTTGCAGGTCGTCAACGTCATCATGCGCTCCGGGCCGCAGTTCTTCGACAGGCCGGGTAACGAGGACGCCATGGGGTTCGTCGCGGCGCCGATCAACGCGCTGCTGAATTATCCCATGGGCACGGCGGCCGGGTACGAGTTCTTTCGGAGGCGGGATGTGAATGCGGCGATGGGGGAGGTTTTAAGCGCTTGGGGTAGGTTTCTTGCTTCGAAGGATTCGAGGGGGTGTTTGAGGGCTTGGGTATCTGCTTCTGGACAAGTTGTGATGGCGGAGAGGGCGAATGGAAGGGTTGGAGAAGGGGAAGGGGGTGGTGGGTTGAGGTTCAAGGAGTTATTTGTTTGTCCTGATCCTGAGGACAAGGAGACTCTTGGGTATGAATCGTGGGATGCGTTCTTTGTGAGGCGGTTTCGGGAGGGGGTTCGGCCTGTGGAGTTTCCCGATGACGAGGAACACCACGGCAGGGAGAAGCTGTCCGTCAGGAGTAGCAGTGGCACCGTTGACGTTCAAGTCGACGACAACACCTCGGTCATCGTCAACGCGTGCGAGTCGGCGCCGCTGCAAGTCGTTGCCAACCTTGCCCTCTGCGCCGACGTCACGCTGAAAGGCCAGCCGTACTCCCTGACCGACATGCTCAACGACAACCCGCTCGCGGCGCAGTTCGTCGGCGGGACGATCTATCAGGCCTACCTGAGCGCCTTCAGTTACCACCGCTGGCACGCGCCACTGAGCGGGCGGATCGTCGAGGTGGAGATGATCCCGGGGACGTACTTCAGTATGAACAGGTACCAGGGCTTAGCTGCGCGTGGGAACGACAATGATGATACAGATGGTCCGGATCCGCAGGCGCCGTGTAGGTCGCAGGCGTACACCGCTTCCGTGGCGACGCGGGCGGTGGTGTATATCCAGGCGCGGAACCCGAGGATCGGGTTGATGGCGATTGTGTTCGTGGGTATGACAGAGGTGTCTAGCTGCGAGGTGACTGTGCGGGCTGGCGAGGAGGTTGTGAAGGGGCAGGAGATTGGGATGTTTCATTTTGGGGGCAGTTCGCATTGTTTGGTATTCCGGCCGGGTGTTGAGTTGAGGTTTGTTGAGAACCGGTTTCCTGCGGGTCTTGAGGGGAATAATATGGTTAACAGTGCGCTCGCTGTAGTTGAGTAAGAGCGAGCGATTCTATACGCATAAGTTCAAGGCATAGACGGATTCAACATGTTTAGCCTCTGGCTGAATGAAACTTCTAATCATCCCCCGGATGAGAAGCCGAGTATCTAATAGAATGTGTCGAAGAGATGTATTGCCCCAGACATAATTTGTAAGTAGCACACATGATCGAAATTTCGTTTTCTGACTGGTGTACATATTAGAAAGATCGAACAAAGACGCCCTGTACCTGGGGTTCGTGATGTAGCACGGCAAGGGAAAGGGGGTTCTGGGTAGCCACGCACTTTTCATTGTGGTACTTCAGAGGCCATCTCAATAAACGACAAGACCTCAACGAATATGCAACGTACTCCTCCTTGCCTCGTCCGTGAACCAGAACCCAGCCGGCGATACCGAGTCTTCGGGTTTCATCAGCATTTCCCCTTCCATCCATCCTTGGACGAAGCAGGTGCCACCAAACCTGTACACAGTCTCTCCGTCTACACTGTCAACTTCTTTCAGCAATACTGGCACAGAACACGTCGCTATCACAGCCAAAAGCCACGGCTTGTCGAAAGTCTTCTCCGAGATGTACGAAGGCAGGAGGGCCATGTACCCCTTTTTCGTGATACAGAGCGTCCTCCCTCGAAGCACCGACTGTACAATATCAAACCACGGACGCCCTTCATAGCTGAAAGGCCACTCGTGGGTCGGGATATGGCGCGACCTTGCAGTCATACAGTCGTAATGGTGCCACGCGTCCTGCTCCTTGGTCTTATTGAAGCGAGCACTGAGGGCTGCCAGCTTTTCCGGGTTCTGTCCGCGGCGATTCCAGGCCGAGGTCACGTCGCCGTGGAACATGGCAATGGCTGCTTGTAGAGGATCATCGTACGGGTTGGCTTTGTGGTCTTTATAGATCTTTGGTATGGCTGCTGTCCACTCTTGGAACTTGTAGAAGGCGTCTGGATCGGGTGGCTGGAATACGTGTCCTAAGGGGATCCTCCCTGGGTCTTCGATGATTTCATCAATCTCGTCTAGGATAACGCCGCGACAGTTGAGAATGCCCTTGTTGAAGCTAAAGAGTTCTTCAAAGTCGCGAAGCTGTCCAACTCCTCCATCAGCGGAGTAAAGCTCGCCGTCCAAGTCGTCCATCAGCCTCATGGGCCTCATGGGGATCCTCTCTCGACGGACGAGGCAGCTTGTGGCTGCTGGGACGGTCCAATCGGGACACCAAGACGGCACGAGACTGTAGAAGTTATCGACGTTATGCCATGGCTCAGAGGCGGCGATGATATCGAGACTTCCGTGCTGTCTGGACCAAGCTGTTGCGAAGTCAATAAAGACTTGTTGGCGGCTTTTGTTATAATCCAGCTTGAAGTCCAGCCCCTCCTTATCCTGCGCCAGATTCCACAGAGCGAAGATCTTATCTCTGCCGTCGGTTGCCTGGAAGTCTCGTGTGAGAATGGCGGCCTCGAGAAAGCCAGGGCTGTCCTTCCGGACGGTGGGTGAGAAGAACGGGGAGTAGAGTTTTCCTCCGGCCATCAGGTGCCTAAAGTAGAAAAGTTTACGGATCAAGATGAGCTCGTTGTACGATAGACCGAACTGGTATAGCTGCGGGTCTGCGCTCATCATCTGCGTTCTGAGAACGGGGTTGAAGGCTATCATGGCTTGCAAGTTGTACGCGGCGGCATCGAGGGATCCGAATGCGACGGCTTTTCGATTGTCGACTATCACTGCGGGATCTGATGAGATGGCGACTTCTTGGACGACCCAGACTCGTCTGAAGTACGGACGGCACATGAACTTGTACAAAGCCGCACAGCGCGCAGGATAGACTTCAGGACCAATCTTGTTCCCCTCTTTCCCGATATCGTACTCACCCTTCTCATTCATCTCAACCTTGAGTTGGTCCATCGGCTTAACAAAGTCCAGCGCCATATCGGTCTCGTCGCTGTGCTCGCCGACGTAGCAGATGACTTGAGATGCGCGGTCGTAGATGTCAAACATGCGTGCAACTTGTCTAGTACGCTCAATAACGTTTAGCTGGTCGATGCACAAGGCGTCAATCCAGATGGGTGTTGCTAACTTCTCGCTTCGTATTGTACGCAAGGCCTGCTCTAGGTTCCGTCGGACTGTCATCTTCTGGCCGTTGACAACGATCTCGACCGTATCCCCGGGTTTGCCCCAGGTGTACGACAAGGCGTGGTAGGACACTTCGCACACCATGGGGCAATGGGCCAGATGGGTGATGACTGGCGCCTCGCGGTCCTCCGAAGGCGTCACGACGAGAATGCGGATCTCGCCAACAAGCATGTCGAGCGGCACGTAGTCGTGGTTCGTGACGGGCGCTTCGTTGGATGGGCTTTTCCCTAGCTTAATTGGGTAGACGGTGGGTAAGGTGAACCGTCGCGGTGGTTCCGATTTATCACCAATGTAATGCCAGGTCTTGTCCCATTCTCGGTACTTTGACTGCGTTCTCCTCTCGACCATGCCCCTCTCCAGCAGCTCGGTGACGACCTCGGTCATGCTCACGACCTGGGTTGCCTTTGCGTACATTGAGTCGAGGAAGTCACGGGTCCAGTACCACTCCTTCTCTTCTGCCGAGGAGAATTCTTGGAGGCAGATGTGCCGAATCCATAGCCTCACGGGCAGACGATGTCCGCGAAAATATCTGAGAAAGACCTCGACCGCGGCTGGGACGACGAGTCCCTTGCCATCGATCTCGATAGCATCCTGTAGCAGCCGATAGCCTCTACTGTCCCTGATAGCGATGTAGGGCCCGGCGTTAGCAATCGGGCATACCTCTATGCTGCATCTCACATGGTTTTCTGGATCGCTCTTGTCGCTGGGGCAGGGATGAAGGACGAGAAAGCGTTGTTCTCGTGCATCGCGGTCGATAGGCGAGTATTCGTATGCCGGGACGTCTAGTTCCCAGCAATCTTCTAGCTCCCTGCGCAATGAGTTCCCAGGGTATGTCATGGCAGTTTGGACGGTCGATGAATAAAATGTCAAATACTCCGTAATACCATGCCCTATGCACCGAGACTGGATGCGATTCCTAACATACGTATTTCAAACATTGAGAGTGTCGCGGTGGGTTTCATTTAAGACCTGGCATTTTATATTTTAGGCATCAGCATTCGCTTGATTCAGTTCCATGACTGAAGGAAGTGGCAACTTCTATTCGTAGAAATCAAATGGCTATGCATAAGCGCTACTGCATAATTTTTCGAATCCATCCAATGAGCCGTCACGCAGAATCTAGTACGCATTGCCAATTGAAAGCATTCGGCACGAAACATAAAATCTACATTCAAACAGTAGCCTAAACTGGAACAGTTTATCCCAGTACACGGTGAGCAATTATACAGAATGCCGCATGCTTCGGAAATTCGAAGTCTGGATCTCAGAGTAACAAGACTGTGTGATGATACTTCTTGCTTAATTACAACGCACACTTAGTTCGGATCCAGAATAGAGCACCACGACATTAGAGCTGTTGAATAGTAACTGGCATGGTTTGTAAGCTTCTAGAAAGTGCGAGGAAATCAGCTATGCTAGCATCGAAAAGTTGAATCTACAAACTGGGTTGAGGTTCGGGCTTCCGAAATGAAGGGTCAAATTGTTGGGCAGCAGGACCACACATATCACTCTGCAAAGATTGCGCCAAGCAAGAGTTGAGTTCCTGATGTCTATGGAAACTCCGAGTGTGCCTTGAATCCTGGATGTATGTATAAGTCATATAATTACTATGGTAATCGGTGGTTCATCTGAAAGCCCTAGAGTTGTAGTTTGCTTGAACTTAATTAACGTAAACGCTCTTACACTTGGAGAAATTGACTGGAGAAACTGACTGACCATTCAATGTTGAAGCGATAAGATTGAGTATGAATATGAGAATTCTAGCTTTTGTCGGCATTTTTACGTCGTAAGGTACTCCCGGCCCCAAGTTTTGTGAAATGCGCTTCAAGCCCCAGATAATGGACATTCTAGTAAGGTTTGAGGCTCGATAACTAATTTGACCTGGGCTGCAGCTATCGCCGCAACATTTCCCAATCTGGCGAAAGTTTTCCCGTCATTGTGATGGTAGTATTACTGACGGATACATGAATCGCCGAAAACATCACTAATTTTCGGATATCTCAATTTTGGAAACAATGGAGCCTGGTTGATGTTTTTTTATTTTTATTTTATTTTTCTAGTTGAGGCCTAGGTTTCTGAGCTTTGCTACTGCACATCCACTACTCATCAAAGATGGTGGCAACAACAGCACCAGTGAGAGTGACCTGACCAACCTTGCCACCCTCAGCCTCGGTGATGATCTTACCCGAGACGAGGTCGCGCTTCCAGATGACAACGGTGCGGTTGTTCTGGTGACCGACGGCGATGAGGTCGCCGGCCTTGTTGATGGAGAATTGGCGGGGAGACCAGCCGCCGGAGGGGGCAAGCTGCACCAACTCGAGGGAGCCGTCGTCCTTGATGGCGAAGGTGGACATTGTGTCCGAGGGGCCGGAGCCGAGGACGGGGGAATCGCGGAACGAGACATCGCGGTTGGAGACGATGATGAACTTCTGGTCGGGCTGGGTGAATCGTCAGTCAAAGAGTTCCACAAACACGATCATTACCAATCCGGATGTAGAATGCGTCCGCTGGCCTAATTTGGGAGTTGCAAAAGGCCGTGGGGGCCAACCCAGGATTGAAATAAAGCCTAGAAAAGGCTAGAAAAGGATCTGCGACAGTGCAGGGGGCTGGATTTTTCGCAAGAAAACGAAATAGGAAATGGAGACCAGAAACAGAAAAAAAAAACTCAAACTCACAGTGATGGCAATCTCGCTTGTCGGGGCCTTGGTGGCAGGGTAGTCGGCGTTGACGGAGGGGATGGATGAGATCTTGGTGAAGGCAAGGCCGGTCTCCTTGTACTCAACCTTGTACGAGTAAATGTTTTGGTCGAGCTCGCCGTTGAAGAAGAAGACGACGTCGCCGTTGGCCATGGTCTTGAAGACGCCGTGGCGGGGCCCGACGCCGGGGCCGGTCACGAGGCCGTCGACCTCCTTGATCGGGGCGACGCTGTTCGGGTCCTTGGTGTAGACGCGGACCCGGTCACCGCCAAGGTCGGCGAGGAGAACATATTGGTTCTTGGGGTCGATGATAACGTGGTGAAGATAGCTGAGATCCTGACGGGCGGTCACTGGGCCAGGCTTCTCGAGGGTCGGGTAGAATTCCTGGAGCGGTGCGGTGCCCGGGAGAGCTCCCTTTTCGCCCAGAGCGATGACGGAAACTGCGCTCTTGTTGCTAATTGAGACATCGTGTTAGCCTGAAACATGACTTTGGCTTGATATGTTTTTAAGGTATAGATTAAGTTGTAGGTCAAAGTGCGAGGAACCGGTGGGAATCAAAGTCCGAATAGCCGGTGGGAGGCCCTGCGGAAGTTTTCCCAACGACGCTTAACTATCCCACCGGAAGCGCCAAAACAAACGACACACGGACACAACAGCAGTGCTTAATTCGACGTTGGCAATTGGGGACTTACTATGAAGCAGTAACATAACCGCGAGCACCAGACTCAGTGGTGACAATCTCACCAGCGACACCGCTGGCGGGCGCCGGGATGCGAGCGATGCGGGTCAGGGCGCCTCCATCCCCGATGGAGAAGGAGTTTAGTGAGCCGTTGGGAACCGAGTTGGAGCCCCGGTCGAGGCAGTAGAGGATCCGGTTGGCCGAGTCTAGGGTGAGCCAGGCTGGGTTCACCTCGCAGTCTGCCGACTTGGAGGCGACGGATAAGCTCGCGTTGGCGCCGGTGGTGAGGGAGAGGGTCGTGACATTTCCGCCCGAGTCGGCCGCGTAGAGGGTAACGGCGTTACAGGAGGCCGCTAGAAAGGCGGAACCTGCCAAGAGGCTCTTCATGGAAGTGCGCATGGCGGATGGATTAGAAGCCGATTGTGTAAGCGGAAAAGGGCTGTCTGGGAAGCAGAAGGGGAAAAATGCACTCAAATGAATGAAGGAATTGGAAAGGATGGGCAAAATGAGTGGATTGGGGTGTAATGAGCGAATGTGGTGAGGTGAAAAACAGGCAAGTCAATCGCAACCGAGGGGTGGGTAAACGTCGATTTAACTGCAAACGAGGTTGGCGATGTGAAGGATGAGAATGAGTGGATTCGGACTCTTTTAGTCCAAGTCTTTTTCTGAAAAGAGTGATTAGAATTTCTAGTTCCTAGTCTGCCAAGTCTTCGCAATAGCTCTCCCTCGTCTAGGATTGTGAACCTGAGGGGACTCGAAACCTGTTAATATACAAGCCAAAAAGGTAATGAAGACAATCGGATGGCTCCGAGCTTCAGAGTAGCAATTGCAAAGCCCGACTTTCCAACTGGAACCTGCCAAGACTCTTCTTCCCAAGGTGCCGGTATTCACGGAGATTTCAGGGGCCCTCCAGCTTTTGCCTGTTGCTCCTCTGTTTGCCTGACTCGCTTTTCGAAGGTTGTTCAACAAAACGCCTCATCGCCAAGACCAAGCAATGTGTTGATTGCTATAACGGTCAAGAGCTAAACTCCGCGTGTACTCCCCAAGATGGTATGGGTCAAAACTCCGCGGGCGTGTGGGGGCCAACAGTTGGCGTCAACCATTACCCTCGGTGTCGACTATTGCCGCTGCTACACGCTACGCCTGCTGTGCCTGGTCTGAAGAATATCTGGCGCCTTTTTGCGCCCCAATGACAAAACCTTAAAAAACGGGCGCCGGGGTGGTCGGTAGTGCCGAAAAGGGGGACGGGCTCCGGTTCCAGAATGACGGCGACATAGAGAAGGCGCTTGGGAGCTAGGTTTGGCCTGCTTCATGGGGTGAATCACCCGGACAAGGTTCTACGTTTTGAGTAGGTCAAGAGGCTGAGCGGTCAGCGCCAAGACCTAATACAGAACCAGATTGATTGATATGATTAAACAAGGCGTGATTGATACTTGTCCCTGGCTTTGGAGTCTCAATGAATGGGTCGTGGAGTCGTTGATAGTGTGGGACTACGCTAAGTCAGGGAGGGGACAGACGCCAAAATCGGGTAGCACCGTGGCCCTGGCTTAAAGAGATATTTGACTTTGAGACGGATATCGAGTGTAAGGCGACGGCCGAGGATCCGAGACCGATCCCCATTTCCCAAGGCGTCTCTACGAGAATATCCGTATGAGTCTGGAGAGGGACCCTCAATGGGATGGTCCCATATGTTCCGCGCTAAGTATAAGACGAACCCGTGTACAGTCTCGGATACTGATTCCAGACTCGTTTCTTTAAGCCTCACAGCTCAAGTCTTCAAGATCTCCATCTTTTGATCCTTACATTCGTTTCTTTATTACCAGGCTGTATTGACCTGTACATACTACAGCCATGGATTCCACATTCTCTCTTAGACGCCTTGCCGTCGCTACACTCCTTTGTGCTTCTCCCGCTCTCGTCAGCGCGCAGGCCGAAAACAAGGCCGCCGCTCTTCAGTCTTGCTTGACGACTGCTGGTGTCCGCAACGTCATCAGCACCGATGCCACCTGGGCCGATGAGACCACCGGCTTCCAGAAGCGTATCAAGGTTGACCCGGCCGCCATCTCCTTCCCCGAGAACAAGGACCAAGTCGCCTTGTCTCTCGACTGCGCTCGGAATGCTTCCACTTCGGCGTCTCCTCTCGGAGCCGCCCACTCCTTCCAGGCCTACGGCTTCGGAAACCCGGGCAGTCTGGTAATTAGCATGGCCGCTTTCAACTCCGTCTCCTTTGACGCTGCTACCAACCGTCTCACCTACGGCGGTGGTACCCATGTTGGCCCCGTCCTCAAGTACCTCTGGGACAACCACGGCCGTCACTTCCCCCACGTTCGCGGTGCCCACGTTGGTCTTGCTGGATCCAGCATCGGTGGCG